TTTTCGCCCTGCTTCAGGTCACTTGTGCTCCCTGGGATGGGTTTTTACTCAGTCAGGGCTGGTACCACCCCCTGTGAGTCAGCTGCTTGCATCAGCTGAGCTGCTGGGCTTCTGGGCAAGTCCTGTTAAGGACTTGAGGCTCTGTCAGTGGCTCTTGTCACTTTGATTTGAGGCTCCTGGACGCTATGGTTCCCCCTGCTCAGGTGTTGAAGGCGTGCTCTCTGGAGTTACTCACCTCAGCAATTGACTATCTTATTCAACTTGTTTATCCATGCCCTGGATGAAGGGCTAGAGTGTACCCTTGGCAAGTTTGCTGATGATGTGAAGTTGTGGGGAATGACTGATACGCATGAAGGCTGTGCTGCCATTCAGCAGGACCTTCATAGTCTGGAAAATTGGGTGGAGAGGAACCTAATGAGATTCATCAAGGGCAAGTGTAGGGTACTGCAGCAGGGGAGGAAGAGTCATAAATACCAGTACAGGTTGGAGGCTGACCTACTAGAGAGCAGTTCAGATGAGAAGGACGTGAGAGTATTGGTGCGTTCTATGTTGAATTTGAGCCAGCAGTGTGCCTTTGTGGTTAGGAGGGCAAATAATATCCTGGGGTGCATTGGGAGGAGTGGGGCCAGCAGGTTGAGGGAGGTGATCCTCCCCCTCTACATGACCCTTGTGAGGTCACATCTGGAGCGCTGTTTCCAATTCTGGGCTCTTCGGTATAAGACAAGGAGCTACTGGAGAGGGTCCTGCAGGGTGCCCAAGGATGATCAGGATCTGGAGCATCTTTCTTATGAGGAGAAATTTTGGAGCTGGGCCTGTTTAGTCTAGAGAAGAGAAGACTGAGAGAAGTGGGTGCCAGGAGGATGGTACCAGACTCTTTTCAGTGGTGCCCAGTGACAGGACAAGGAGCAATGGCCAGACAGTAAAACACAAGAAGATTCACCTTAGCGTGAGGAGGTGAATCAGTCTTTGAATGAAGCTACTGCTCGTTGTGATTGTCATGGTATTTTGCAGAGCTTATATTCCTTAGCAGAAAGAGACAGTGAACAGCTTTGATTCCCTCTGATTTTACTGGGAATTTTGATTGCTGAATATTTTTCAAAGTTAGGCCTTGATTATTTTTTCTTTATTATTTTTTTTATTATTATTTATTTATTTTTTACATTTCATGGAGAGTGTGTGTGCTCACATGAGCGAAGGTGGAAGTGAAGGAGTTGCGATGTGCTCCAAGCACACAATATTATTTAGCCCTTGTCTGAAAACGCTGTAACTTAAGTAATTTGTATGCAGATTGTACAAACTTCTTAAGAAAATTAAGGTCTTTGCCATTGTCATGGTTTAGAGCCCAGCCAGCAACCCAGAACCACGCAGCATGCATAGCTCTTTGGCTAGTTTGGGTCAAGTGTCTTGTCTCTACTTCCTCTCAGATTCCCCTCCTCCCTGGCAGAGCATGAGATTCAGGAAGTCCTTGGTCAGAGTAAACATTACTGAGCAGGAGCTGAAAACATCGGTGTTATTAGTGCTGTTCCAAGGCTGAAAGTCAAAAACACAGCACTGCACCAGCTACTAAGGAGAAAAAATGACTGCTACTGCTGAACTCAGGACAGCCATTCTTTATAAATCTAAAACGTGTCTTACAGGTAGTAGACTTTGTTCACACTCGTGAATAACCTGGGCAATAGTGTCCATTGCTAAGTCCACCCCTCAATCCATCTTTATGTTGCATCTCTGCCCTGATGGCCTGAGGTGTCATGGGCCCACCAGGCTCAAAATAATTCACCCTCCCCTTCAGCAGTTTCTGCAACTTGTTGTTGGGGACTCCATACAGCTGCCTTCCATCTCTGATGCTTCCAAAGCACTGGAGGGGCCTAGTGGACTAGATACTTGCCCATACTGTCCCCGACACCCTGCCGGTCATGACTGTCCAGCCTTGTGGAAAATCTCTTCGTCCTCCTATATTGTCATCTAACCCTAGACAAGACCCAAACACAACTCTGCTTAACTTTTGAGATCAGACAAAATGGTTGTGGGTAAAACACAGTCTGTATGTGTGCCAACATGCTGATCCCCATCACAATCAGCAGGCAGATCCCAATGGTACCCAAAGGCCATTCAAAACCTTCAGAACTCTCAAATGATGCTGTACTTGTTACTGGGACTGGTGTAGCTGCTGTGCTTGGAGTTCTAGTAGCTGTGTTGTCTGCTGTGGTCGGAGTTTCTGTACTTGTTGCAGGGGTGTGTGGGAATGTCTCCCTCATAGGCTGACCACCTGAAGAGTGGAAAAAGGATGTGTAATTGCTATACACTTCTATTATATACCTCCCAAAGTATAGAGGTGATGACCACACTGGGAACACAATTCAGATTAGTTTCACGATCAATGAGTCTATTGTATTACAAGTCATTGCCATAAAGTACAGTGAAACAAGAACCTTAGCCCAGGGCCCCAGCCAATAAACAGTAACACAGCAAATAACGGCTGTAAGTAAGGTACGACATACTGAAACTCTGAGATCAAGTGCACCAACTTTGAGAACCAGTAAGTCAGCATTGTGAGGAGTGACCATTAATCCAAAACAATAAATGCTTATCACAAATATGATTAGACACACTCTGGTCAGATCTGTTGTTATCTCAACCCTTCGTGCCCCACGTTGGGTGCCAAAAAGAACTGTTGTGGTTTAAGCCCAGCCATAAATCAGACCACGCAGTCTCTCTCTCGCTCCCCCTCTTCGGGCCCCCCCCCCCTTGCTCCCGGAGGGATGGGGAGGAGAATCGAAAGAATACAACTCCCATGGTTTGAGATAAGAACAGTCCAGTAACTAAGGTATAACACAAAACCACTGCTGCTACCACCAATAATAATGATAAGGGAAATAACAAGGGAAGAGAATACAACTGCTCACCACCTGCTGACCGATATCCAGCCCAACCAAGCAGTGATGTAGCCCTTCTGGGTAACTTCCCCCAGTTCTCTCTCCTGGGCATGACGTGCTGTGGTATGGAATACTTCTTTGGCTAGTTTGGGTCAGGTGTCCTGTTTCTGCTTTCTTCTGGCTTCCCTTCCTCCCTGGCAGAGCATGAGACTCAGGAAGTCCTTGGTCAGACTAAACATTACTTAGCATCAACTAAAAACATCAGTGTTATCAGCATTGTTCCCAGGCTGAAAGTCAAAAAACACAGCACTGTATCGGCTACTAAGGAGAAAAATGACTACTAGAGCTGAACCAAGGATATTGGGTTAAGAAATATTTATTTTGGGCAATCACCTTCCTTTGGCTGTAGGATTATAAAGGAACAGCACAATATTGGACTATTTTAGTTCAGAATTTCTGTCCTGTGAGTTACTTATGATTGGCAACTGAAATCTCACCCATTTTCATAAATGGAAAAAAAGATAATTGTTAGATCAGGCCTGAACCCTTTCTCATCCTAAAATCTCACTTAGACTAAATTCTTAGTTGGATGACACCTGGGGATAGAGAAGTAAGGTGTCATTTTTAGTGGTGTTTATCCCCCCAGCTTGCCTGTGTTTCTCAAGCTAGGGGCAGGTTGACATGCTCTCTTTTTTCTATCACTACTGTGACTGGTGCAGTAGAGGTCAGTGTTGATTTGCACTGTGCAAGTAGTCACACATATGTCTTTTGGCCTCTTGATATCACCACTGTTGCCTTTCAGTTGTCACTTTGAGATACTTCTGGCAGAACACATTGAAGGTGATTGAAAAATTTGAGCAATAATAGATTAAATCTGTCCTTAACTGGGTGGTGCTTTGCTCTAAGTAACTCTTTGACCAAATTGTAGGGCAGGTGAAGGTCTGTAGTGTGAGTTTTGTTCTGTAGTATTCTCTTGGCTCACCAATGTGTTTAGTTGCTTGTGAAAAGTCTGTTATTTTTGATCTACAAGACTGATGGAAGTTCAGCATCCTCTGCATTACCTGTAAAACACTCCCCAAAAGCATAGCATTTTGTAAGCATTAAGGAGAATGTTCCCACCACTTAATGTTTTTCTGTGGCCTTTAGGTGTATAAGAGAGAATTATATGCTACTTGTGGATTTCTTTTAAAAGCTAGTTAGGCACTTCTGAATATCCTTATTTCTGAAAATACAGGTTTATTGGCTTTCTATCTCAATAGTCAATAACTACTACATTCCTGAAAAGGCTTTTAAACTTAATCTAGCTATAATAGATTCTGATGTTACTCACTGGAATGCCTTGGCCTCTTTTGGAGTTCATTAGGTTGTTTTCTTTCAGTAGTTATGTTGGTATTAGTACCTCCACAGAAAAATAATTAGACTTTCAGAAGAAACACACTGTTTCTAATTTTTTGCTTTTTAATTTCCTTGAATTTCATTGCATTTGTGTATGATGACATTAGTAAACAGGGACAGAAGTTGTTCTTTCTTACTACTTGATGATGATGATAGCGATATACTACTTTGGATGAAAGTTTGGGGGGGTTGTTTGTTTTAATACTGATGCATTGTTACTTCATGGTCCTTTTGTGCCAACTTCTTTTTCAAGAGCTCAGTTTCAGCTCTCAAGCATAAGCTGTTCTTGAAAATAAAACTTTTTATTATTTAAATACTTCCTTCTTTAATGTGTCAGTATATACTAATGTCGAGTCTTTAACTGTTAATATTATCGGGTGAAAAGAGATAAATAGCTGCTGTTTCTTTAAGATATTTCATCAGAATAGTAATCTAACTTCCATAAAAACCTAAATGTACCTTAAATGGCACTGGGAATTATGCTACATTGTTGGTTTGGGTTTTGTTTGTTTGTTTTATAAATGAGAGTTATGAGTCCACCTTAGGTTTTTGCCCTTTTTTTTTTTTTTTTTACATAGAATGTCTTTTCTTTTGTAGAATAATTTAGTTTGCCGTGTCTTCACAGCATATTTATCAATCTACACAAATGGGAGAGGGGAAGAAGGGAAGGGAGAGCTGACCGAAAACTGTCTGGTTTTATATGCTTACAAATCACTGTGTCTGTCTTAACAGGTGAAAAACCATTTGAATGTCCAAACTGCCATGAACGCTTTGCTAGGAATAGCACGCTCAAATGTCACCTCGCAGCCTGTCAGTCTGGAGCTGGAGCTAGAAAGGGAAGAAAGAAGCTGTACGAATGTCAGGTGGGTAACAGAAGTAGCAGAGTCTGAGGCTAGATATTCGTTCCTGTGCTGAGGGAGTGTGGGACTACTGAACAGGAAACAACGAGAGTGGACTTATGTATCCAAGAACTAATTTTAGTAAAATAAAATATAAAGATGGCATTCAACCACAACATGAAGGTAAATTCTTATATCTAAGTAGTTCCATTTTAAAATACGGAATTAGTGATATGGAGCTTCATAATTGTTAACCAGGGAGATTTCTGTGGATAGGTAAGTGTTAATCTGCATCTTGCTGATCTTTCTGCTTCCTTTTCAAGGTTCTTGATGCACTGACCTAGGCCTTTCCTGCTTGTGAGCATGCTTCACTAAAGTCCAAAATATAAATCATAGAATAGTGAAGGTTGGAAAGGACCTTAAGATCATCTAATTCCAACCCTCCTGCCATGGGCAGGGACACCCCACACTAAACCTGAGACTCCATCCAACCTGGCCTTGAATGCTGAAAGGGATTGAGCATTCACAACTTTAGGCAGCCTGTTCAGTGCCTCAAACCCTCGCAGTAAAGAAATTCTTCCTCATATCTAACTGTCGACGCGAGAGTCACGGACAACGCAGGAACGATCAATGTGATCAGTGAATGCCAATTTCTTACAAAGCTTTAACTCCTTATATACCATTTCTTACAGGCACTTGCAGTGATTTGGCATATTATGATTGGATACATGTCTTGAAGACCCTTAGTGACTAACACATAATTGGTTAAGCACAGGTGTGAGAACTTCACCTCGAAAGCTTGCCAACAGTCCACAGTTCTCATTAACTCAGTGAATTACAGCTTCTTCTTATCTTGCTTGCTTAAGCTTCCTTGGGCCTCTCATGGCCTTGCTGTATCTTTCAGGATAATTCAGTTTATGTACCAATTACACGTTCTCCCGTGAGAACACTGTCTCCACATCTCCCCCTTTTTGTTTTATGTATCTTATGGATGACACTACTTGAGCAGGGGATTTGGGCTAGATCATGTTTTCAACATATGCCAACTACAGGCTGCTGGGCCTGTCCCTTTTTTCTGCTGTATGGCTCTCTGGTAACAGGGGAGGCCATCCTTCACATCAAGGTCTGGCATGGCATGTGTCCCCACCGCTCCACGCCTGCAGGGTTGCAGCCAGCAGTGGAGCTAAAGGTTCTTCTTGGTGGCAAACACAGAGGCCAACCCAGTCTTGCCCTTGATTGTGGTAGCAGGCATTTGGTCAGCCTCAGTCCTTGCACCTTCTTGTCAATACAGTTTCACCTGCTTCATCCAATAACAAGTTGTTATTATGGCAAGGCACACACACAGATTTACATTAACAGAGTAACTATTACAGGGTGCAGCAGCATGTTGAAGATGCTGATGCCAGCAAGGAACTAGCCAAAGAAATGTCTTACCAGTGGAATTCTCTCACCCTCTTAATTTGTTCCATTACCTGCTTTATAACACTACCATTGTATTAGAATATTTCTATCTTTTGCCTTAGCATTTTCTAGCAGCTACTACAAATTTCTATACTCTAACATCTCTTTTACAAGTGACAAATCCATATAATACAAGGTGTAGTTTTTTATTAGCAGCTGGCTAGTAAATACAGGTGGTTTCATACACAAAATCAAAGCCTCTAATAATAGTTACTTTACAAACACACATATTCAAGCTGTTATTTTTCAGTTGCCCCCAAATGATGTTTAGCAATCATTGGTTTTTCTCTTCCTCTGTCTCATTCTGCTTGGGGTATTCACGGTCAGCTCCTGTAGCTGAGGCATCAGGTTTCTCCATTCGTCTGTCCAGCTCATGGCAAGGCTTGACAAACTTTGCAGGCAGTTGCCATGGACCTGTAGGTAGGAGGACACAAATACACCCCCTCATCCAGGTTATCAGTTCTTGAGAAGTAGACAGGTTAAACGAGGAGTTTGCTGCATCATTGCCCTTTTTTTTTTTTTTTTCTCTGCCACCCTGATGCTGCTTAGGTGACGGCTCGTAAGGCTTGTGGTTGCACTACCCCTCTCGCTTTTTCAGTTATCAGTTCTTGTTTCAACTGATCTATCTGTTCCTCCAAGTCTTGGGTTCATCCCCAGGTTACTCTAAACATATTAAGCTTGGTTTTGTTTTGTTTTGTTTTTTCACTCCTCAGCTCTGGTGTCCATCCTGGTCCTTCCACCGGTGGAGCACTGGGAGCCAAATTGGAGGGCAGCTTCTTTTGAACATGGGGACCAAACTCTTATCAAATAACTTTCCCCTTCCCCCCAAAGTCGCTCACCCTGCTTTGCAGGGCTGCAAACGCCTGCCTGCTCGGCAGCAGCTACAGCTGCCTGCCTGCTTCAGCAGCTACCATAAATACCTGCCGGCAACCACACTTTTGCATTAACCCTTTCTTGCCTGAAATGTTAAACTGCTACCGGTTAAAAACTTTTACATGAACCCAACAACAAAAAATACACAGAACACCATCTGCCCTCAACACACACACACACACACACACACACACACGGGATCCCACAAGCACAGTCCACACAACTACAATATTTGAAGCACAAAATCCCAACAATCATTACTTCCACTACACAATCCCATGTACAGAACGTGGCACAAGGACCCTGTGGAGACTAACAAGAAAACCAGCTCCGAGAAGCATCATCGCAGTGTGAGGTGGCAGGCTTAACCCTGGCGGGCGTCCCCGCAAAGACTCTGCCTCCCTCACATCGCATGAGGTTTGGGCTTTTATACTGACCAAAATGCACACTCATTCCGACACAGGTGGCCAGCCTATGTTGGAGGAAGTAGCCAGCAGTATTTATAAAGGTCTCCAAAGGTCAATAGAAACCTGGACATACTTATTTTTACCAACTTCTAGTACATGAGTATCCCAGAGAGAATGTATTAAATGAGTTGTATATGGTGTCATAAGTCCACAGTCCATCACAGTCTGCCTGATACTCGTGATAAGAGCATACGAGAGACCTTCCCACTGCGGGTCTTGATGCAGAACATACACCACCAGGAAAGCACAGTACATCTGCATCCCCCTCTGGTCTTACTTCTCCCTTTACAGCTGTGCATTTAACATGAGGATCTGGGGGGGATATAAATCAGGCTCCTTTTCCAGATGAATAGGCTCCAGGTCAAAAGGACCATCCAGGTCAGCATCAGAATTATCAGGCATCAGAACCTCAGGAGCAGCAACAGCAGTCTGATGGAGGTGCACAGGCTCCTTCTCGGGGTCAATAGGGCCTGAGTCAAAAGGATCATCTTCATCTCTGTCCTCAGTCTTCGCAGCCGCAGCGGCAACCGGCAGGGGGGGGGGGGGTGGTGGTGTTTTTGGTGGGTTTTTTGTTGTTGTTGTTGTTTTGTGTTTGTTTTTTTTTTGTTTGTTTTACTTTAACATAGAAGAGCTTGCTCCCTTCACTTTGGAAGGACTGAAAACATCCATAAAACAGATGTCCTAAGCTCAAATTTCAGTTCAGTCACTGACAGTGGGGGTGTCCTGGGGCAGTGTTGACTCTTTGCAGTGTTTCACCCATCGAGCTGGCACCCAGCACAGACCGGAATCTGTAATTACACACATATAACCTTGACCAGTTAGTTTTACTTCCGCAGGACCTTTCCAAATGCCAGTTTCCAAATCCTTGTCCTGGACCAGAATACCCAGAGTTTTAGTCATATTACCTGAACCTAATGCCTGACCATGTATTATAGCAGGGGGGGGGTCATTAAAATCTCCTGTCAATCACAAAAAATTCATAACATATACAGCTTTCTGTATCTTTGCTGTTGGTGTAAGTCCTTCTTCCCCTGTTTTTTGTTTTTCCAACAACTGTTTCAAAGTTTGATGTGTTCGTTCGATAATAGCTTGTTCTGTAGGAGAATGAGGAATACCAGTGATATGAGAAATACCCCAAGTATTCAAAAATCTAGAAAGTGTAGCTAGATGCATTGTCTGGTTTTAGCTGTAAAGGTACTGCCATAGCTGCAAAGCAGCCACGTAGATGTATGATTACATGGCACAGTCTCACCAGCCAGGGGAGTGGCCCAGACAAAGTGAGAAAAAGTGTCAATAATAACACGGAAATATTTCAATTTCCTGAAAGAGGGTACATGAATCACATCCATTTGCTAAAGCTGAAGAGGCTGGAGGCCTCGAGGGTTGACACCAAGGCCTATACCTACTGCTTGGCCTTGACAATCGGGACAAGATTGCACAATGCCTCGGGCATCTGTTAGGGACATTCCAGAGTGTCGAACTAACATCTTTGCTGATTGATGGAAGAAGGCATGGGATGCTCGAGCTTGTTGAAAGATATCTACAGAGGGTCCTGCCCATGCTGGGGCAACTAATTTATCCACTTTGTTATTGCCTTCACTAAGGCTTCCTGGAAGGCCTGAATGACTGCGAATATGCATAATAAAATATGTACATTTACAGGTATTCACAAGATGTAACAAGATCCACAACCTGTGATTAGTGAATTCTTGTAAAATTGCCCTTTCTATACATTGAACAATGCCTACAACATATAAAGAATCGCAGACAATATTAAGAGGGCTGTCAGGCCATCGTTGAAATATTGCAATAACAGCACTTAGCTCTAGTGTTTGTAGCGAATTGGAAAAATGACCAAATATCTTCTGCTCTTTCCAACCATTGTCTGTTTGCCAAACATATCCGGCTGTGTGATTGATTTTGCTTGCATCTGTAAAGACAGTTAATCCTACAACAGGTTTACTAGGATAAAAGGTAACATCTTCTTTAGCATTGTAAACATATTATGAGGTGGAAAATGTATATTAAGAGGACCAACAAAGCTTATCAGAGCAAACTGAAAAGCAGAGCTAGATTGTTGTGCCCAATCTAACCATACCCTAGTAAGTGGGAAACAAATTTGTGATGGATCACAGCCCATAATTTTCTGACAAAGCGAACGACCTCGTACAATCAAAAGAGCAAATACTTCTAACCGAGTAGTTACAGTTTTAAATAGGAAAA